CTATAATATTATAGTATACCCTTACTATAGTATCTATATATATTAAGGATTTACTCTTTATAGCTTTATTATATAAAGTACTAATATATATTAAGAAATAATATTATAACCTTAATAATACTTTTTAATAATCTCTTTTAGTAAAATTATTAAACTAATAGGCTATCTCTCCTAAAATAAAGTAGTATATTATATAGGCCCTATTAGAAATTAAGGCTATAGATATAACCTACCTAGACTTCATCTAGTCTCTTATATTTAGTTAGATGATTTTTCTTAATTACTTTTCTAATATAATGGTATTTAGTTAGATAGTTTTTCCTTATAGTCTACTTTCCTATCTTTTCCTATGCATACTTATTTTTCCTTTTACTCCTTACTTAATTTACTAGATTATTACTAGATTACTAGAAGCTTTTCTTTTTTTTAGTTTTTCTTTAACTCTATAGGGATGTGTTATGGACACACCATAATATATCTAATATTATATATAGTTAAGGTTGCTTATTAACCTTTAATAGTTAGTAAGAGAGAATTAATAACTATCTTCCCCTGAGTATACCATCCCATGTATAGCATGCGCTACCAGCACCTACTAATTATGGTATGCACTAGGTGGTGTTTATTAGGAGGGATAGATCTACTAAATGAATGATAACTCTAATACCTTAGTTAATAAGTTATATTACCAGAATATAGTAGATTTAATCTTATTAGTTTGGAATGCTCTTTAAATTAATAGTCCCCATACCAACTGCAATAATCTAGTGAGATATACTAGACCATGAAACCTCCCCATCAGTACATATGGAAGACACTCACTATGAACATGACATGGTACATTAGTCATTTTTTCCTATCAATAGATCCCATATTACTTGATCTGGATAGACATATGGCCAACGATCTCGTCAAGCTTCAACTCGAGAGAAGAAGTATAGATAGGCAAACCTCTTCATATCCTGAATGTCATCGACTCTCACCACCTTCTCATCATTGAACATAACCCAGGAAGGATTATCCTGGCCCGGCAGCGTCTTCCGTACAAATGCAACATAATGTCTGTTTGCTCATCAGTTGGCAATTTGATAAATCTGATAAAATAAGATCTCCGACTCACCCAGCGTGTACTGATGAACCTTTGTGGCAAACAATGGCCCGAAGTTGGTATCTAGCCGGGGTTTCATGAAACCCAGGAATCTTACTATTACCATGAAGCTGGGAACCAGAGTCACAATCACCACCTTCATATTCAGGCATCTCATCTGGGTGACTAAACACCCAATCGAGAGCTCGATCCACGTCCCCTCCTGTCGCAGCCAGCGCTCTTTTGGCTCGATGCTCATCAATACCCATCTCATTCAGTTGAGCTACCTTCAAAGGATCCTGTAGGGCCATGTTAGCGGGGCTGGTGGCCAGGCTGCCCACAAGCGGTACATCGATATCTGGGTCGTCCATATGAGAGAACAGCCAGTTCATGGCAGCTTCGGTATCTGAATTGCCGGTCGCATGTAGCGCCTTCTCACACCTAATTCTGGGAAAGCCCATAGCGAGAAGCTGGTTTAAGATGTTCTGATCAGGTGAAAACCCACCGTCGGATTGATTGTCTTCCGGTAGGAGATTTTCGCCTTCTTCCTTCATGGAGCCAACATACGGGCTGAAATCCACTGGTTCGTCGCTGACATCCACTGGGATATCCAATTTTCTCGGAACCCAATTAACGACTTCGAATCGTCGGGCATTAAGCACTAATTCCTGCGGCAATGTCCTGAATGAGGAACGCTTCGAAAACCCATCGCTGCTTCCACAGGAGGGACAGCTGAGCTCAACCATCTCTTCAGCAGTGAAAACGTCAAGACAATCATAGAGAGTCACTGATTCGAACTCCGCAGATGGGTCCGTGCTATCAGTGCTCAGCTGTCGACGCACGGGAACAGGAATAGAGACATTATCTTGCTCATCTATTCTGTAACGAACTCCTTTGCAGGACAGACACTGCAGACGCTGCTCGACAGCGAACCGAAAACTTTCAATGGGATTGCCTCCGCCCTCGGGGCTTTGGGAGCGTTGAATTAGCTTGAACAAGTGGAGTAGGAATTCAAATGCATCTTGTTGTCTCATGGTTGAGAACTCTTCATGACCACGACCGATAAGATATTTGAACATTGTTGGCGCTAACCCTTTTTGATGGGGAACCTCGGGAGAATCAGGCGAGGCAACCACATCTGCATTGGGCTTTGAGTAACGCCCAGAAAGAACGCCATCAGCGAGCTTTCTCATCTGCGTCTCGAAGTCCTGAGCAGGTTGTTGAGATAAAGGTGGCTCTTCGTTGCTATGATGGTATCTCCTTTGGACCTCCGGCGAGGAAAAGAGGCATTGTACCACGCTCGAAAGATAGCAGCTATTTCCTAGATTGGACAAACCCGTAAACCCAGGACCGAATATCGGGGTCAGTTCGTGACCATCTGCAGATGTGGTTGAGAACTCCCATCTCATGTTATGTTCAACTTGCATCTCCATGAGACTTTTCTCTGTTTTTTCGCGCGCGCTCAAATTGATTCCCCAATGAGCAAGATGAGCAGCAAGGTCCGGGTCTGTCCTTTCTTCATTGCACTTGTAGCAGTAAATATCCGCACTACCATCAGCAGTTATTGAGCCAAGCTTGACGGCGACAGCATGGGAAGTCGAGTCAGAATGCGCAAGCGCGTGTGAATTTCCTCCCAGCCCCCCGAACTGGCTGCGTCCGCAACCAAGGTTACCACATTCTAAACAAAGCCAGAGGTTCTCTTTCAGAGTACACATGGTGCACTGACTCAGCTCTGCGTATCTTGGTTAGCAGCAAATTGGGCCCGCGAGGACAAACGTACCTTGAGACTCTATCTGCTTAGGTTTTTGTTGTACCAAGCAAAGCGTATGCTCGCATGGGACGAACTCTTGCTCCCAGGCTTTGATCTCTTCTCTCTTAGAGAAAGTCATGGCCTTCATTACCCCATCTACCACGACTGCAAGGTTGCCACTGGATGCATCAATGTCATCCAAGCGGCACTCATAACAAATGACTCGTATTGCTGTGTCGTAGCGATCTTCATCCGTCTCTGCAGCAATCGCGAGCTTTGAGACTTTGTGTGGAGGTTCGCCACGCTATTATCCTATGTTACCATGACACTGAACATTGTACGCATTGCGAGTAGGCATGACCTGAACGTACCTGTATCTTCTTTCGCGACCTCTTGATGTTCAGTGCTAAAGGATGGCCAAACCGCTTGTAATGAAGCATGGCATGGTTTCGATCTCCTGTACAACCGCCGTTGAAACAAAAGAGGCATACATTTAGGCCAGTTTCATCATCCTTAGTAAGATTAGCCCTTGCTGAAGATGCCAAGAATGAAACAAGCGACGAACCACAGAGTCAAAACATTGTGTACAATCTTCGCGATAGACAGCTTGGGATTCAGATGGCGGCCGCAAAGCTTTCAGAGTCTGAATTAGTAGTTGGCTAGAATCTGGACTTTATGTACTTACCTTGCGAGTCGGTATGAAGGCAATGACCCATTCTCTGTCTCCGATAATAATCTTTACTCGATCGACATTAGCTATAATTGACGAATCATCAAGTCAAGAGGAGCGAGCAACTGACTTCTGATGAATTTATAGCAAGATGTAGAACAAATTGTGCTTTTTTATTGGTTTGGTGAAAAGTGTGTAGATTAGTGAGCAGTGACGTGAGGGGATCTAACAGACGACTATGTACTTTACCTCCGAGCGCCACCTTGCAGCATTCTTATCAAGGTGTGGGGTAGCCTGATCAATTAAACAATCAACACGCCACTACCTTACTAATGATCATAATAATAATGATAAAGTTGAATTATTGGTGCTAGACAGTTTATGATTATTTTGTCCCTGGCAGGCTTGTCCTAGATCAGCTAATCATTATCCTAATCCAGTTGATCTTTAAAAAAATTCCCTATTTTAATCGTTTCTTACTCCAAGCTTGTGGTCTTCAATATTCTGGAGAGTGATCCCATTCATTCTTTGTATGTCTCAAGGATATTTAAAGAATATTAAAACTTTTACATTGATTTCATTGATTATTGTCTGAAAAAGGACTGCTAAATGCTAGTAATCTTAGCTGACCATTTCATATATAGATTTAACTGGAAACTAATAAACTTCTGCCTTTCAGTGAGCTCCATAGAGAATGTACCTTAAAAGAAATAGAGAAGGCAGATGCCTAGGTAGTGTAGGTAACCATTGCTAAATGCTAAGGTAGGTTAGCTGCAACTCGGGTAATTAATACCTAATATTACCTTAAATGCTGATTGTGTGAATACCTTGTACCTTGCACCAACTGGCTTAAGGTATGTACTAGTACCAGCTACCAAGGCTACAGCGGGTCCTATCAGAGAGGGGAATGAATTGGGGCATAACGCCTCGCCACTCAACGCGTCAGGGATGTTTTACACACGAAATGACACGCGTTGAACCAATGTCTATTGCCTAAGTGTTTTCACTCATATCTTCAACATCTTCATACTTCTTCTGGCATCAGCTTCAGCACAAGTGAATACCACAGAGTAGGTTCAAAAGTGGCCTAGTACTTGAATACCTGCTTTTGTTTCATGCACAAGCCAGCTACTAAAATAATTTACACATATTTTCCACTATTCTCATTTTAACATCCGGTTACGAGCAATCCAGCAGCAATTGCTTGCGCTATGGCTCTCGATGCAGCATCCCAAATCTCAGTCGGGGCACTCAGGTATACGCGAGCTCTTTTTTCTTATCCCTGCCAGCAGACCATTCTTTCTCATTCCCTCTGTTGGCATGTCAGGTACGGCAAGGATTTACTGATAGGTTTGTAGTGCCATCTTCGATGAAACCAAACCCCAGATCAATGAACCCATCGTTCAGTGTGTTCAGATTAAGCCCTTGCCTCCTCAACCGAACCATCCAGAGCGGTACAGAGCCGTGTTCAGTGATATCTCGAATTATGTTCAGACCATGCTTGCAACCCGTGAGTAGAGAGAACCGGTGATGAATTGTCATCTAAGTACTAATTAATACGATGGATGGCAGAGGCGAATCCGTTCGTAACGAGTGGAATGCTCAGGAAGGGGTGTTTCGTTCGTTTGAAGTCATTTCAAGCAAATTCCGTCAAGGGGAAAAAGTTTTGGATCCGGAAACCCCAAATTACATACTCGACTAATATCATCATAGGATTCTCATAATATTGGATCTCGAAGTCTTGCAGGAACTCGGCGAAGCAGAGAAAATTGGAGAACCAAAACCATTGGAAAACAAGGCGGAAGAGGATGAAAAACCTCAACCCACCACAATCTCCAGCAGTGGATTCTATGGCTCCAAGGTTCAAAATCAGCGAGGGGAGCCTCGCGTACAGCCTACACGTTCCTCTTTGACATCGAGCCATGCGACCATCTATCCAATCGAAGCTATCTCTCCTTATTCACATAAATGGACGATTAAGGCGCGTTGTACGAGCAAATCAACAATCAAAACCTGGCACAACAGAAACTCAGAGGGTAGGCTATTTAGCGTCAACTTACTCGATGATAGTGGTGAAATCCGTGCCACTGGATTCAACGAGCAGTGCGACCTGCTCTATGATGTTTTCCAGGAAGGAAGCGTGTACTATATATCGAGCCCCTGCCGGGTTCAGATTGCCAAGAAGCAGTTTACCAATCTGAACAATGACTACGAACTCACTTTTGAAAAAGATACAGTTGTGGAAAAGGTCAGTAAATTTCTTAAGCGCAGTTGCATCAGATGGGCTTATATTTTTGGTCTAGGCAGAGGATCAGAGCGATGTTCCGCAAGTGCGGTTCAATTTCACCACCGTGGGGGATCTACAGTCCGTTGAGAAGGATACCACCATTGACATCATTGGGGTGCTGAAAGAAGTCGGGGAGACTACTCAAATCGTATCGAAGGCGACGAGCAAGCCCTATGACAAGCGAGAGCTTACCTTGGTCGATAGCTCAGGTTTTTCTGTTCGTCTAACCATCTGGGGCTCCACAGCATTGAATTTCAATGTCATGCCCGAGTCTGTGATTGCTTTCAAGGGCGTCAAAGTCTCAGATTTTGGAGGACGAAGTCTGAGTCTGTTGAGTTCTGGCTCAATGACTGTCGACCCTGACATAGAAGAAGCTCACCGTCTTAAGGGTTGGTATGATGCTCAAGGCAGGCACGAGACATTCACGTCACATGCCGCAATGTCCAATGCATCCTCGTCTGCAATGAGATTGGATCGCTTGAAAACAATCGCACAAATACGCGAGGAACAACTCGGGATGTCAGAAGATGCAGTCTACTTCTCGCTGAAAGGGACTGTTATTTACATAAAGCAAGACAACATGTGCTACCCTGCTTGCCTCTCCGAAGGGTGCAACAAAAAAGTGACAGAACTTGACCCCGGCCAATGGCGGTGCGAAAGCTGTGATAAAACTCACCCACGTCCAGAGTATCGCTACATCATGCTCATCAATGTCAGCGACCATACTGGCCAGCTCTGGCTCAGCTGCTTTGATGAGGTTGGGAGGCAGTTAATGGGCACGTCTGCGGATCAGTTGATGGATCTTCGCCAAAATGGAGAAAAGGCTGCTGGAGACATCTTCCAGGAAGCTAATTGCCGAACTTGGAACTTCAGATGTCGGGCTAAGCTTGATCATTTCGGAGATCAGCAACGGTAAGCATCTGCTATTGGGGGTTACCAAGAATGAACCTACCGCTAATGACCTTTTAATTAGCATCCGCTATCAAGTATCGACGGTCAAACCTGTCAACTACTCGGAGGAAGCATCTCGTCTCACGGATCTGATCAATTCATATAGCCTTTCTTGACAGTCCTTCGATTGATTGTGAATTTGCCTTTCCTGGCCAAGTTCGATCCTTCCGGGGCTATACGTGTTACGTGCACAATTTCAGCCTTATGCATAAGTGTATAACGTCGTTCCGCCTTAATCTCAAAGATTATGACTCGACTCCCTGGTTAGAGGTTTGCAAGGTCTCGCAAATCACATATGCCCTCCTTGGGTCATTGGGAAGGGCAACGCATACGAGGGGTATGAAATTGAACCAAGCTACGTTATTTAGGTACCCAAGCTGCCATTCCTAGGTGATTTTTCATAACGATCAGCCTTGTACTCCACACCAGGAATATAGTCTTTGTCAGTTTGGGAGCTTGCCCATAATGACCTGCTCTATTTCTTTGATGTTTTCCCTTACAATATGACGGGAATTACAGCAGTCTTTGGTTAGTGGACTATCTAGTCCAGTCATATAATTGAGTTCTTGTAGCAGTAGTAGTATGTAGAGGTGGAGTAACATTTATATTGGCGGCGTCGATCGGCAGAATAAAATTGTCACAATTTTACTCCGTACTGGCACTCCCATATTTTTCTCTCTCCCCCCGACAGCATCTCTTTACACATTATACGATTCTGCACAGTTTACATTTCTCACTCTTGTGAGATTTTGTCTTTTATCTCCCATATTTATCGATTATCTATTTGGTCTTTTCTCATTCGCAGGTTTCGGAAACTGAAGAAAGGCCGGAACAGAAAGTGATCATGACCAAGCGTGTCCACAACGAAGGTGGCGATTACCGGCCCAAGAAGAGATCCAAGAATGAAAGAAATGGAGACGAGTCGAAGGTCTCATCTGCCGAAGCTATTAGAAATGAACTTGATCCTATGCCAGATGTTACCTACGTCCAGTCACCAGCCCTAGGTGATCTTTCTCAGACTGAGATAGACCAGTTTCTCGCGAAGCATTGCATTAAAGTGACAGATCCCTCGGAAGCACCGGCTCTTCGCCCCATAATTTCATTTTCTCACCTCCCTAGCAGCTCCAGCAAGATTTATGACCCATTGAGCTCTTTCTCATCTCCGACACCTATTCAATCTGCAACATGGCCCCTACTATTCGCCGGTCGGGATGTCATAGGTATTGCAGAGACTGGAAGCGGGAAGACTTTGGCTTTCGGCTTGCCATGTATCAAGAAAATTCTGGATTCAGGAAAGGTCAAGCGAAAACATGCACGACCTGCAGCGGTCATCATTTCACCAACCAGGGAGCTTGCAATGCAGATATATGATCAGGTCTCGAAATTCGGAGCCTCTGTGGACATCAGAGTAGCATGTATTTATGGGGGTGTGAAGAAAGACGAACAGCGCGAGGCCCTCAAAACTGCAGCTATCGTTGTTGCCACCCCTGGTAGACTAAAAGATCTTCAAAACGATGGCTCCGTGGATCTCG